ACTGTGGTTTGAAGATATGTTCGTTTTTGTTTTTGTATCTCAATGATTGCATTTCTTTCTTCATTAAAACCCAGATTTTAATATTTTTAACAATATTTAATGGTTTTAAAAAGATTAATTTCTAAGAAAAAAAAACTCTTGCATTAAACAAATTCCAAAGGAAATTATGACACCATCAAAAAATATTGGGGTCTTGATTGACAAATTGCTTATTTAATGGTAAAATGTTGACTGCAAAGTACAAAAATTAATTACTAGCCTCATTTTCCTTAATCAGCGGACTTGTATTAGGTTTAACAAAAATTTAATTTTTTAATTAAAAAAAAAACATATTTAGACTGTCCTACAACAATGAAACATAATTTAAATTAGTGTAAGTTTATAAAGTAACAAAATGCTAGTTGTTTCAATTCAACAATGTAAAATATTAATACGGTAATAAAATTGGCTGAACTTATATTTTCAAATGATTTGAGTCCACATCCAGCAAATAGCAGGATTTTTTTTAATCCCTCAATATCTGCTTGATTTAATGCCAAATTATGTAACAAAAAGATTTTCATCATTATAATTAGAAACTTTTGTCTTATGAAAAATAGCATCTATTGTTAACGTGTCTGAAAAGAAAAAGTCCTTAACATTCAAGATTGAAACTTTGTTTTTAAATTTATCTCCTTAATATTTTTTTAACTTTGAATTTGCAGGTTAAAAAAAAAATTAATTTAATATGCCTAAAAGGGTTTAGTCAAAAAATAGTCTAGTTAAATATGTTTCAAAAATTTTTATCCAGAATGCAAACGAGGAAAGTTTTGCTTCAAGAATTTTCATATCCTCTTTATCACGATTTCACAAATTATTTTTAGACAAATTATGATGTGCTTTATTGGAGGATAAAAGAAACACGCTTAAATTTATTTAAAAAATTTTTGGCTTGGAAGTGCAAAAATGTGCTCCCCTCTCCTTTACCGTGCAAAATTCCCTCTTTCATTTTGTTCAATAAGGCCGACACAAGGAAAACTAACTTCAATGATTAAAAAGTGGATCCCTCAGTTCGGCGGCTTCGCCAAAAGCATCTCACGTCCAACTTTCTTCGCAGCACTTTGCGGGCGGATGCTGGAATTCTCAATGTATGCCCATCCATCGATTTTCTAATTTGAACTCGCTGCTCGTCGGCCAAGTCAAGTTGCACCAGCAGGTAATAAAACTTGTCCAAGTTTGTTTTCCACCCAAGAGCAGCAGCAGCAGGGGTCTCTCTTTCTACCCCTGGAGTTTTCTTAATCCCTCTTCGCAACGCATGAGACGCAATGAATGAACATACAAATTTGCCCCGATAGCCGATCGGACAAACAAAGTTACACAAAATTGAATTTCCAGAGAGACACACGGAACGAGCATTCCTTCCGCTTCGCTTTTCTTTTTACTTTCCTTCCCTTTGTGCTGCACAACAATTTCTCCGTCTGTATCCGCTCGTTCGTCTCTTTCTTAAAGAAACTTTCCGCCGACCTTCTTTATCTCGAGGGATGCTACAGGAGAATATTTATTCTTTAATTTTATTACGCTCGGGTTGATTGAATACCTGCGCTGCTAACCCGTCAGACACGGCAACAGTTGAGCAACAAATTTCCCCAAGCTCGATTTTCCGACTGTGTATGTGTTTGCGATTGCTTGCGAAGCATCAGCAAACGGCAGATTTATTGAACTTTGAAAAAGTACACCTTTCGACCAAAATCAAACGCTCGTGTAAACTGTGGAGGCTTCAAAGGAAAAATTTAAAATATTATTATTATTATTATTATTATTATTATTATTTATTCTTCTCGGTCAATATTCAGTGAAAACGATTTATTTGCTAAAATTTGCATTTGTTCTTGTTATTTTATCTTTATTTAACCAGCCAAATCCTTGAATTGCATCAACTTTGAGCCAGTTTTAGCCGAAAAAGTGTTCAAACAATAATTTATTGGATATACAAGCTTTGAATAATTAGTGTGATTTTCCATAACAAAACTATTTTATTATAATTTAGGACTCATTCAATTTTTTTGACTCACGGCTAACGTGTTGAGAAAGGAAACTCGAGATTGCAATTTTTTTAATCCATTATTTTGAGCGATGTGCATTAATTACATATAAGAAGTAAGTCAAGGTAAGTAATAAAATTTATTTATTAATCATATTAATTATTTCTACATAGTCTAATGTTTGGCGTGAAAGACCTATCATGTTAGTTAAATTTTAAATAAAAAATTAATGCTTATTCAGTTTCAATTAAAAATGAGCATTATGGACTAACCGATAATATTTAATTTAAATTTTATTTTTAAATTTAACATAAAAACTCTTAAATAAAATAAATAATATTAAATGGTTTTAATTACACAAATTATAAAAAAATTATTATTATTTTAAAAACCTCAACATATTATTAAATTTGGATCGGCAAAATTAATGCGCGACATTTTAGTTTCAGAGCCACGTCGGTTAAATGTCTCGATTTTCCGGATCTTCCTCAAGTTTTTGCCCGGAAATAAATCCCTTTTGGCGCCACCGGATGATTTACATTATTCATATATACTCTGCAGCTGCGATGCAAAAGAAGGGACCTGTATACGCAACACTGCTCGCTGGCACGCTCGCCGTGCGTTTTATTTTGCGGCGCGTGTAATTTTTTGCAGGCAGGCGTCCCCGGGGCTGCTGGCAGAGGGACTTTGTCGGGCGTGCGTGTCACTATGTACTGGATAAATATGCAGATCCCTCATCATAATGGCGAGGCAACAGAGAGGCGACAAGAGCCTTTTACGCGGCAGTCCGCCTGCTCTGTCTTGTGTGGTGCAAAATTTTAAATTTTCGGCGTCGAGGCTCGTCGCATTTTTGAGCGGGGGATTTTTTTCCAAAGGGGAGTTAATTTGGTTGCCAACATTTTGCATAATTTCTATATGAATAAAATGTATGTTTGTGAATATTATGCATTGAGAAATAATGGACAAATAGTTTAATATTTGGAAAAAAATGAAAAAAAAATTGGTTGAAATTAAAGCTACTTTTTTAGCCTTATTTTTATAAGATAATTTATTTTTTAATTTTAAATGAATAAAAAGTAAGAGGATATAGGAAATATGTCATTTTACCAATATCTTTTTTCAATGTTTATTCTCAGTTCTTGCTAGAAAAGTTTATAAATGTTTCTGCATTTCTAATAAGGCCTACCTAGATTAAATTTGTAATTTTGCAATAAAATGAAAAACTTCCCATTTACTCACCACATTTGAAATAAAAATTTCGCTTTCTAAGTGCCTGAAAATAAAACTATGTTTTTATAAAATTAAAGTGTAAAAACGTTGATCTTTTACCTCCTATATCTTAGTTTACTATTCAAACTCAATTTAGGCTCAAAATAAGCGCCTAATTTCTAAACATTCCATTCATTTTCCAAAATTTGAATAGGTATCTGAAGACACCTTTCAAGCCAAAGCACAGGTCGGTTGGCAAGGGGTCGTGGATTTATTTGCAAAAAATCAGGTGAAAAGTACACAAAATTTGACGGATTTTGGCGTGGAAAAAACTCGGAAAAGTCAAAAGCTTTCCCGGAAAAACGCTACTGTAGTTTCAACTTAAAAATGGAATATCTCGGGTTCTATTTGAGATACAGAAATGCGGCTAGCACCAAAAATTTTCTTTTTACCTCCTCTTCAATCCTGAGAGGCCAAATAATTCAGAGGTCAAAGGTCAAGGTCATTTTTCAGGGGTCACAAGTACAAAAAAAATTCTAGCAAAAATATGCCACCTTCGATTGGGCTGAAATTTTTTTCTAAGATAGTCCTAACATGTAGGAACAACATATTAAAAATTCAGAATGGCATATTTTTTAGATTTTTTATAAAAAAATCACAAAGGTAAAAAAACGTGAATTTTTCGCATTTTGCCAATGGTCGGAAATAAATTTTTAGAATTTTTGCGAGATTTTTTGAAAATTTAGGAATGAATTGTCAACAAATAAATAAATTTATCCATTTTAGTTACGTACTTTCTCAAAATAAATTTTTGATCATGAGCAAAATGCGAAAAATTCACGTTTTTTTACCTTTGTGATTTTTTTATAAAAAATCTAAAAAATATGCCATTCTGAATTTTTAATATGTTGTTCCTACATGTTAGGACTATCTTAGAAAAAAATTTCAGCCCAATCGAAGGTGGCATATTTTTGCTAGAATTTTTTTTGTACTTGTGACCCCTGAAAAATGACCTTGACCTTTGACCTCTGAATTATTTGGCCTCTCAGGATTGAAGAGGAGGTAAAAAGAAAATTTTTGGTGCTAGCCGCATTTCTGTATCTCAAATAGAACCCGAGATATTCCATTTTTAAGTTGAAACTACAGTAGCGTTTTTCCGGGAAAGCTTTTGACTTTTCCGAGTTTTTTCCACGCCAAAATCCGTCAAATTTTGTGTACTTTTCACCTGATTTTTTGCAAATAAATCCACGACCCCTTGCCAACCGACCTGTGCTTTGGCTTGAAAGGTGTCTGAATTTTTAACATAGCAATTTTGATATTTATTTTCATACAAATTTATTATAATATTACAAAAATCAATTCAAATTGGTTTTAATACTCTTTTTAATCATGAAAACCTAAAATAAAATATTTTTGTAATTCTGTTAAGCATTTTGCAAAACTAGAAAACTAGATCAGAGTTTAGATGATAATTCACTGATTTTTTCACAAAAAAGCTGAAGGTTAGACGTCAGGAGCAGAATGTGAAGTGAGATTACTCAAATTAATATTTGCCGTGATGCGTGTGACACTTTTCAGGGGGTGGGCGAGGACGACGGAAACTTGGTGGCAAATACATATAGCCAGAGAGAGCGAATAAGCAAAAATCTCATGAATTATGCAGGCGGCCGTGGTTGGTGCGGTGCTGGTGGGTGACTTGCTCTCCACCAGCCACCCACATTCGCGCACTTCCTTTTTCTCCTCTGCCATTTCAAATTTCGCCATCTCACAGCGAGTGAGGCAGCCGCGCGTCATTTCAGAGAAAAAGCAGCACAAGGAGAAGTCATCATTTATGTCGGCGCGGCACCAAGAGAAAGTAAAAGCTCCAGCAGCACTGGAATTTTTCATCAATCATTTATTTTCCGTGCGTGTGTGAGGGCGAAAATGAACGTGAAAATGTGCGCTTCTAACAATAAGTGAGTGACGTGCGAATTTCACTTGAACTCCAAATTTATTGCTTTGGAATTTTTAAATTTGTTATGTTATATGTTGGAAAGCATTTTCATGAAAAATGGTCCATTTTTATTAAGCTCGTCATTTTTAAAAATAAAGTTAATTGTCATCATTAAAAATAGTGATAAAATTAAAAGTTTTAAAAATTTTCAGAATTATCACGTCTTTTTGGTGAAAGAGAATAATTATTACAATATTCACAAGTATCCATTTTCAGAATAATCATAATTAATTTCTGAGCAATAAAATAGAATATTTTAACAATAAGATTAAAAATTAAATAAATTTCAAAAAGGAATTTGAAACAATATGAAATCTTTTCGGCGTTTGGCACATAATTATTTAATTATTTTACTATAAAAATAAATTATTATTAATTAAATATAACCAGAAAGTAATATTTATGATACATTTGATTGTTTTCGAATTCTTTTACGTCCAAAAATTGATGCTAACAATGAACCAGGTATGAATTTCTAATGGCAATATTCCCATTGTTGCAATCGAACTTAATCGCCATTGTTGCATTTAAAATCACTCAAATTCCGACGTTGAAGAATTTTCTCTGCATAATGTTTCCCAGCGAGGCTGAGCGCCAGAGGAATCTGGAAAATTTCATGAAAAAGAAGGAGCACCGACGCAAATACAGCGTCACCAGCTACAAAACCTTTTCGGCGAAACCTCAACAGCTGCCCGATGCCTTGCGAACGATGAAGGACGACGCTCGGCGCCCGACGCGAAGCGTTAAAAATCAGAGGAAAGAGGCGCCCTCGAAGGTCAAGGACACGATCAAGGTGCCGACGAAGGCCAAGGGTCAAGGACGAGGCGAGGATGAGAAGCAGGAGAAGAAGGAAGAGACTTCAATGGTAATCATCAGACTCGAAAAAATTTATTTAATGATAAGGTTTTCAAAAGATTTAACCAGAACTAAAAGAAAAATTCCTTTCAAATTTTTATCAATTTTGTTGTTTTACATTAAATAATAATAAAACATTTTTTTACCAAGCAGAAAACCAAAGATCCTGAGGTGGCAGTGGCCATCCCCAAGAAGAGGGACGACATCTCTGTCGCCTTGGACAAAGCCCTGGCCAAGAAACCACAGGGCCTCTCAGTGAGTCCTCCGCTTGACAGGGCCCATCAGCCTCCGAAATCCAAGCCAGCTACCAAAGAGGTATCTAAAATTTTATCAATTCAAACCAAAATCTGCTTATTAACTAAAAAGATATATTAAAAGTTCTTGCAATTAATTATTAAATTATTATAGAAATTAATTTGATCCTTTTCAATAATTCTTTCGATATTTTTTACTATTTAGTAATTTTCAATTGTCTCTTTAAGGAGTCGACAAAGGCTTCTGCTGCCGAAGAGATGAAAGTGGTTTTGCCTCACACGAACGACGAATTTGACTTCTCCGCCGCTCTGGAAACCGTCCGCAGAGTCGTGGCCAAAAAAGAGGAACAGCCTTCCTCGAATTATCCTGCGCCCGTCAAAGTGCAACCGCCGTTGGCCCAAGAGCTTGTGCTCCTTCAAAAGCCAGCGGAGCTCGAGGAGACGTTGAAAACGCACACCAAAGACGAGTCCTCCAAGCCCAAACTCATCCTCCTGCAAAAGGCAATGTCGGCCGCTGGACCAGTGATCAAAAACTGCTTGCTGGTGGCGCTGCTCGTCGGCACCGGCGTCGTAATTGGCTTCATCGAACAGGAGCACCTGGACGACATAATCAAATCCATTTCGACCATCGAAATTATCGAACATTTCTGACTGCGCGCACAGAGGACCTCGAGAAGAACGAAAAATAAGTCTACCTTTCTGAAATAAGCCAAAATATATACACAGAGAAAAACGTAAAAATCAAAGAGTTCCTGAAACTTACCTAAACTGATGATAATTTAAAAATTTTATTGAATATTTCTCTCTAAATGTCACATGTATTTTATTTTTATTTTTAACTTGTTTAAAAATCAAATGCGAAAATTTTCTTCTTAAAATACAAAAAATTTGGGGAAAATGGAGAAAAAGCAAATCAACTCTAAATTTGATGAAAAGCTACACTTTAAAACTGGTTGATTATGAATTTAATATTTTAATTAGTCATTTACGACGTTTACTAAGCTTAAATTTAATTTTAAATCAAATGGATAACTGCAAGAGAAATAAAATTTTATGCCACTTAGGCAGTTTATTGAATGCAAATTTAATATTTTCAAATTAAAATCTCCAAATTTTCAAATGAAACTGAAAATAATTTTAACCCTGTCAATTTTAAGTGATAAGATCTTCGCAGTCCATATCACATGAGCGTGAAATTGCCATCAGGGTCGACGAAATGCACATTTTGACCTTTAGAACAATTTCAGCGGTTCCATCGGTAGCCGAGGCCAATTAACACGAGGATCTTTTGGGCTGAAAGGGAAGAGGAGAGTACGGGATTGTCAATAATCCCGTGTCAACAGCACACACGCATGATTACTCTCGAGAGTTGGTCCCTTAATATAGGCAAACACGCGTGCACGTCCGTTGTCGGTTGATTGCAGAGGCCGAGAGCGAGCAAAGTGTCACGTTCCGACGCTCCACGGACCCATTGTTTGTCCTCGTCGGCGCAAACGAGAAGGGTTAACGGAATAAGGAGAAAAAAGAATGAACCCTTTTAAAAACCGGGCCGAGTTTTAATATGCGCGTATTGATGGGGTCGGCGGATTAGCACTCGCTTTTTTTTATTTGCGCTGATGAGCGGAAATGTAATCCACTCTGTCCCTTTGCCATTCAACGCTGCGTTTATCTCTGTTATTTAAAGCGATTACTCGTCAGCCGGCCAAAGCGTGCGTATGGCCAAAATAAACCCCGTTTTATATTCAAAGGAATAAAATTTGCCTGTATCGGCAAGTTCCATCTCTCTCCCTTGCTCGTCTCTCTCATCAGCCGAGCTTTTTGTTGGAAAAATACAAAAAGCGCCCGATTGGCTTAACTCGATTCGTTCTGCTGAATGGGCAAAAGCAGCGGTGGAGGCTTCGGAGGCCTCCGCTTACGCAATTAGCGAAAATTGTGTCTGCCTCAGCCGAACTTTTTGTTACCGTGCGCGAATATTTTGCAGACAAATTTCAAGAGGAGAACGCGGAAAATGGTGAAAATATTGGTGAAAAATTGTATTAACGTGAGATTTTGGAATAAACCCAGATACGCTTACTTGAGGAAAAAATAAATTTTGATCGGAACAATTGCATTTTTTTTTAACTAGAATTTATTTTTTTTATTGGTTCGATTACAATTGAGATCCTTATTGAAACATTCAAATAAGGTATTGGCATTGGTAGATATACATTAGTGTAAAAATTATCATTAGAGAGTTTAAATGTAACAATAATAAGATTTGTTTATTTATTTATTTATAGTTGTTTAATTCCTCAAATTGTTATAATTCTAGATTCAATTGTTGAAAACAATTTATTTCATTTATTTTTGGACAAAACGGCACCACCACTAGTGGAAGAATTTTGCTTTTAAACTTCAAGATCAAAAAATCCGCCGTAGTGAACTTTGAATGACTGTTTTTATAAAAAATTTCATTTATGTATTTTAATTGTAGCATTATTATTTCAAGATGATAATTTAAAATAAACCCTTCTCTAGATACTTCAATTTTTTTTTTTTTTTTAAATAATATTATCTTAAACTAGTATAAAAATAATATTTATTTGATATTATTACCAATAATATTTAAAAACATGCTCTTTTAACAATTTACGCCAATCAAAAATATAAATTATTATTATTGCTGTTGTTAATAGCCTAAATTCTTTTTTTTTAATTTAAAATATAATTTTATTTCAATTGTGAATCACATTTAAGTGAAGAACCACACTACTTTCCTCAATAAATAAAGATAAAAAAATATTATAAGTAAAACGGGCAAAACTGACTTCAGCCTCATATCATAAACTCCCTGTCTATTTGACCTGGTTTTTTTCTTCACGCAGTAAAAAAAACATTGCATGAACCAGGAAAAGTCTTGTTTTTCATTTGAGCTTACAGCTAGAATCATAATATGCGATAATTTGCAAATTTAAATTTATTTGGTTTTTCTGCAAATGCATTGCACAATTTCATTTTCCAAGACAAGAAACTCGTTGAACTGCACCAGCCATTTTGCAATAATTAGTGTCACGGAGATGAACTTCCCAGCATGTTATATATGAGAATAGAGCTTAGAAATTATTCCCATCATCTTTGAATCGGCCATTAAGTACCCTCGTCGTATATAAGAAATTGCAATTTCCCCGATGCAGCTAGTGCACGAGCTTTGTGCCGCATGGTTTCGCTTCTAAGTCACGACCAGAAAATGTGCGCCCGACGTTTATTTCGCAGAAAATCGAGCCAGCGCAGTTAGCATGCAAAAAGAGAGTTGGAGCAAATAATGTGCGGAACTCGTCGACTGCCCCGGTGCAGCAAATGCAGTTCACTCCGAGTAACACGTATAAAAAAGGAGGCAAACATGCCCGCATGTAGGTTAGGCAAATAAAGAAAACACACGTGAAAGAGAAGTAGTCGAACTTTTCTTCCAATCAAAGAGTGACAACACAATTCATTTCGCGTCGTCACATTATTGTTTGCGCTGCGGCTTTTCGCAGCATTTTCCAATAAAGGCCGAGATTAGCTCTGCACCGATAGATTAGTGGGACATGCATCGCGTTCTTACATTGCTGGCTGCACCACGCTCGACTGGAGCAAAAACTAATTGCGTTCGCCGTGAATGATGTTGCCGATCCGGCAGCGAGCGTTGCACATTTACGTCGCAACTTCTGATTCAGAAGATCTCCTTGCGCATTGTGCCCGAGAGTGGATAACAAGAAAAGAAGTCCAACAACGTCGTGCTGGTACAAAATGGTTCTTACCTTCTGGCCTCGTGTGGAGGAATATTTTTTGAATATTCAAGAATAAAACATTCGTCCTTACCTGAAACAAACAAAAATGAAAATTAATTTGAGAGATTTTGCTAGTTTCAGAATTTTTTAACGTGACTTTAACCAAAAATTATGCATTGGGTTTGCTAAATTCTATGAAAAAAGTGGGTTTCTGGATTCTTCATATATGTGAATTCAGAGAAAGATTGGATAAAAAATTTCCAATTTTATCTAACAATTGATTACTAAACAAAGAGAAAGCCTGAGGATGTATTTATTTTTCTCCACTAAATAAGATTTATTTGCTGAATAATGAAAATTAAATGATTCAAACAGTTTTGTTCTGAGTTTAGCTTTTTGTAATATTTTTTTTTTAATAAAAGAATGAGCCTTTGGGACGCAAAGGTAGACACAATTATGAACAGACAATGTTAAGCTACTCAAAAAATAAGGCTTAAGAGCTCTGTCTACTGTCAAATTTGATTTGACTTTGAAAAGAATTCATGGAATAAAAAATGTAATTTTAATAACATTGCCAAAATATTGTAATAATTAATCAACATAAAATAAAATATCATATGAAAATAGATCGTCATTTTAATTTGTTCCAAAACTTATTTTGGCAATCTGATTAAATTTTTGTAACTCTGGCTTTAAAATAGATGGGTAAGCACATTTTTTTTTCAAAGATTAACTATAACTTTTGGGAATATATATAAATTTCTTAATTTACTTTCAACTTCTTATAATTATAGCTATATTTTATGCTTTTCTGTGAAAACAGGAATGTTTTTGGGGCGTTGTTTTACGTAGATCAATACGAAGTAAGAAAATTTTACTGGATCTAAAGCAAATAACAACAATTATTCTGACTTTTGTATTTTCAGAACAAACTTTTTTTGTAAATTTTTTTTATTGTATGTTTTGTAATTGATGGAGAATAAATAATAAATAATAATAGCAAAATAAATTTTTAGAATTATTTAACAAAGAAATTTTCAAACTTTTTGCGAAGACTTAAATAAAAAATAATTCATTGAAATGAAGAGGAAGGTGTTAAAATTTCACCCACCGTGCCACCGTGTTTTGCAATTTTAATTTTAAAAACCTGGTATAAATGTTTTCTTTTTTTAAAGTAAAAAACGCCTAAGCCACAGCCTCTCTCGCTCTCTCAGCTGCGCTACATTTTGTACTCTCGCGCGCGCTCACAAAGGCTTCGCGTGTTCAAATATTTAATGTGCCGCAGCGGCACGCATTATATTTTCGTTTTCGCGCAGCTTTATTTTACCATCACGTCTTGTGTTATATGTACGGCTTGTTCCGGTTCGTGCCGAGGCTGTTATGATTATTAAACCTGTCTAGCGTTTTCGGTTCGCGCAGCGGTCGAGCCGCGCTTAATATTTTACCTTGAAATTTCCCTCGAGAATTTACCTCTCATTTAACGTAATGAATTGTAAAACTAACACATTCGCCGCCACCGTCTCGTGTGTTAAAAAAAAAAAGAGAGGCGACGATTATTAGCTGCAAATGCTTTTTGCAGACACTTTTGTAATTTATATCACATCGTTAGGTCACGGAACAAATGGGTGGACGAGAATGTTTTGATGCCGCAGGTGATAAACTGATTTGCGTGGAATTCGGTGTGTTGCAATTAGTCGATTAGTGGAAGTTTAGCTCGCAAAAGCAAAAGTTTATTTGTCTACTTGGCAAAGGTAAACGTGACAGTACAATTTAAAATAACTTTTTTCTTCCAACGCATCAAGCAGCCAATTAATTTGTAATTGAAACAATTGGTAAACAAAAGAGTTAAATTATCTGAAGTTCTCAATTACAATTTTGGTAAAAAGGGGAAAAAACAGATTCATTCAATTTGTTTCCACTTTAAATTTGAGCATTATTTACTGAATTTAATGGCTGGTATGGATTGCTTTCAGTGGAAAACTGAATAATAAAAATTTTCAAACTCGTTGATAAATATTGATTCAAAATAATTAATTGATCCCGATAACTAAATATGCAGAAAATATCAAAATACATAAAATAAATTTATCATTTTAAGTAAAAAAAATTATTCATTTTAAAACGTAATTTTTATTTTTATTATTTGCAAAATTTTTAATCATTTTTAAGTTTAATCACATTACCAATTTATTTATTTTAAAATATCATTTCAATTTTATTTTGAATAGCTTGGAAATTTCTCGAGTAAGCCGCTTCTTGCGTCTTAACTCCACTTTCGAGGGTCGCAATTAATTATACGCCACGGCGGTGCATTAATAAAATAATTCACGGGAGCATGACTAACATTTCCAGCCATAATGCAGCAACTCCCATTTGTAATAAAAGTTGCGAACTTTCAGCTTAGTTTGTGCTTTATGTAGTTTTACGAGTGGCAGGACGCGATTTTATCTTGGAGTTGGAACGTGAGGGTGGAATGGATTTGCGAAAAGTACCAAGAAGGAGGCCCAACATCTGCGCCCTCAGTTTTATTATTATTCAATTGCTCAAAATGAGACCCTCAAAACAAATAAATAAATCAATGCAGTGGCCAAAAAAGCAGCGATTCTATTATAAAGTTTTGTTCTCTAAAAAAATAACAGTTGTCTCGTTAATAATGTGAAAAACTTTATATCCTCGTTTTTTTATTCCCAGCACTTGAGAGTTGAAAAAGGAACTTGTCTGGAGGAGAAAAGCTGAAAATTACTTTTTCTTTTGGCGATTCGCGTGAAAATTATAAATTCTTGACTATGAACGCCTTTCAAAGAAAGCGGCAGCTTTTGTGAATAGGCCAACCGCTGTATTATCAACTTTTTGTTTTGTTGCGTGTTTCGGGTCTTGCACGAATTTTCTTTTCACTTTGGTTTGGGTTGCGTGTGCGGGAACAAAAGACTTCATGTTGCAAAAAAGTGATTATGCCTGAATTTCGGCGTGTTTGTACAACAACTCTCAGATAAACACGGTTCCATTTAATTTTTAATTAATGAAAGAATAGAAGAAAGAGATATAAAATTCCCGTTTCACGGAAAACCGTCTTCGACCCACATCTCGGATTTGGGCGCCGGTCCAAGAAGTAAATCGATAGGACCGATTAAGAAGTGAGATAGAGAATGGCTTTGGGTTTTTTTTTGTCTACCTGCAGAAAGCTATTCTGTTTGTCAAATGTAAACAATTGATGCCGGCGGCT